AGTGTTGTTTAATGAAGATTGTGTTGCTGCACCATGTTTGCTCATGGAAGAAATTGCTTTTGCCCTTTATGTTTATTCATATTCTGCTGGGAATTAAGGACAAGTGTCAGTATTCTAAGTCAGATGACTGATATTCCAGACACAGATACAGAAACGATCCCAGATAAGAGTGACGCCATGCTGTATAGATTAAAATGGAACAAAGAGTTTTTATTTGATTTCTCAAAAATAGAAAAAAATAGAAAGAAATGGGATGGGTTTTATTGCATTTTTGTATTATGAAAAGCAGCAAAAGAAACTGGAGGGCGCTGTGAATGAGCTGAAGGCTACTCGTTTTTTTTAAATGTCTACTTTTGACTGACAGCAGAAAAATCTAGAAAGGCCCCAAGATGCGTTGTACAGAACTCTATCTTTACCCTAAGCCAGAAAAATAGCCCCACAGATAGTAGAGAGGCATGACAGAGGATAAGAATGAAGGGAGTAATGCTGCATTTCTGCCTGCGCAGTTTTAGACTTCACTGTAAGACGGAATGCATAATTCACACTGATATGTCTTCCTTTCACAGAAAGCTTGTGATATTCACACAGCTTTGGCAGGGAGTGTGGATAGCGCCACACAGGCGTATGTAAAATGTGTAGACATCTCTAAATAGGTCTGAAAATGCAGCTTATTTGTCAAAGAGCATAAGCCATTAAATCTGTTATCTGTTGCAAATGAAGCTCAGCATCCTTAGCTGGTGGTTCAGACCCCTCTCACCAGCGTAGGCGAATTTAAAATGAGTTCACACTGAGAAATCTCACATCTCTCAGCATATGCCACATTGTTGCTAATTGGAAACCAAGCTTGTTGGAGGGAAATGGTTGTCACACACACACAACCCTAATAAATTCATTCTGTCTGCGTCGCTTAGAAAATTTCGTTTTAGTGCAATAGCTTTTCTTTTATGCAGCGTTTTAACCAATTTAGTTTGTTTTGTTGAAAACTGTGGCAATTTGGAAGAAGAAAAAAAGATTTAAGCATTTATGTGAACAATGAATATGAATTGAATGAGAATATAACCGTTTAGATATTTTGGAGTGTCCGGAAATTCCCAAACGTAGTGCCGTGATAGAATTCCGTTTGATGCCTGAGGCTTTGGAATCATTTTTTAGTTACTGAACCTTTAATGATATGATTTAGGATTTTGAATGAATGATTTAGGATAAAAAAAACACATCTGAGCACGTTTGCAGAATGGCAGCCCCATAGCAATTATTTCAGGCCTCGTTAAAAGCCTCCCACCTTATACCATTCTCTCACAATCAATCGCCACTTTAGCTCCAATGAAGGAATGTGAATTTGTTGGTCTCCTCTCTAGTCTAATTAGCTTAATTGACCCAATGTGGTAAATGCAGGGAAAAGAGGCATGTGGTTCATCAGGGACGACTTCTGAGAGTTTCTGCTGCTGTTTGGATTGGTGCAATTGCTTGCAGTAATTGTAATTCTCAGTTTGGTTGCGCTAGGTGCAATGTGAGAGGCACTGTGAAGCCCCTATAGGTGTAGCTTCTTGGGTGTTTGATTTACCAGTAATTGGTACTTGTCAAACTCTCAAGTTAATTGTTGGGTATTGTCAAGTTGGCCTTTTAACTGGTGATTTGAGCGGCAAAAGCTACTTTAAGGTTCGTTATGGATGCCACATCTGTGCCTTCTTCCATATGTCAGTGTCTACAACTGTCTTTGGCAGTCGTATGCTTAATAACACTCAATAATTTGATGTTGCTGTGAATTGTAAATCGCTATGGAAGAAGGTGCTGTTTTCCAATTATCTAGAATTACATTCATTTGAGAAATGGGTTGGGGAACCGGTGCAAATAACTAATTGAACTTTACGCTGTCTGAGAAACCACACTGAGGACATGGCAGTTCTTTTACGTGTCGTACACATTAAGCTATTTAAGAGCTTGTGTTTAAAGCCCATTCTTTCTTGGATACTGTATACTGCGCTCCCCCTCTCATTATATTGATCTCTGCATTGCTTACACAGGCATTACCACACTATCCAGATTGGAGGCAAGTTTGCGCTTAAACAGACATTATCCAATTGGCTACTCTTTTCTTTATTCACTCTTCCAGTGAATGAGCCTGTGCCATATATGCCTATCAATGCCACCATGGAGATTTTCTCTAAACTGTTCAAATTCATAAGGCCCTTAGGGAACTGACAAAGGGGGTTATGCCTCACACAAGAAAGATTGGGTGAGAATAGATGGGTGCATTCGTTATTATTTTAAAGGACAGGGCAAACATCTTTTGCTTGGATAGATCATGTATTATGATAGAACATATATAGATCATTTATTTCTATTATTAACTACGTACAAATCAACAAAGTGTTTCATCACAACTTTTAATGATACATATGTAAATGAAAAAGATAACAAGCTTTATTTACTATTCATCGTGATGGTATTCCATATCTATAATGAGAGAAAGAAGTGATTTACATGTACTACTTGTTTGAATAGTTCACATTTAAAATGCATCAGAAAAGGCTGGAAAATTGCAGATCCGGTACGCATATCCTTTTAGTGTTCCTACCTTTCTACTCTCCCGGCTAATGCTGCATTTAAGTCACACAAAGTCAAACTGTGGAAAAAAAAGTGGATTGTCTTTAATCAGTTAAAGACCTTTGTTCTCTCTCTTCCTTCTTAGCCCACACACGAGATGCAGAGGTTCACAGTGTTACATATTTTATTAATCCCTGATTTCTGTTTTTCCTGCACCTCAGCGTTACACACACAAAGATTGTAATGAGCTGACATGTGTAAATGTTGTCCGATCATTTGTCATCTACTTTAATAGATTTAGTCTCCATGATATTCTCTAGTATGTTCTGTATCAACAAGCCCTGCCCTTTAGTTTACTTTTTTTTTTTTACATGCTAAATTGACTGTGTTATCTGTGTCAGCCTGTCAGTTTGGGTTCATTCATCAATTAGGGTTGCCCCCTTTCATGATTGTCGTGCCTCTTTCTATTTAGATTAAATTACCTCAGATTTTAAAGTCATATCTTCCATCATAATTTAAATGTGGTTGTCTTTTGTTGAGCAGGTGAAACTACTGAGCTTTGAAAATTTGATTTGACTGTTCTTGAAACCTCCATGTGGTGAATAGAAAATGTTATTTTTCTCTTTCTCAGACATACGATATCCACTTTTTCAGTGTCTTATTTTTTTTTAGACAAATTTTCTTTTGTGAACATGAAACCTTTTTTCTGTGCCTTCATCTCTTTCCCTCTCTTTCCTTTTGTCTCCTTCTACCCCACTTTTCTCACTCTCATTAAAAGAAAAGAAACCCAGAAGCAATTTGAGGTCTTTCATTGTCAAAACTATTATCACCACTGTCAGCTCCCTGGGTTGGGAACAAAGTCCTCGTGCTGCGTGCAAAAGAAATAGAGAGAATAAAGGAAAAGCCCATAAAAGGAGGGAGAGAGAACGGAGAATCAGAATTTGAATAACACTCCCCAAAAAGATGTTTTTTTTGTTTGTTTTGTTTTTGTCGCCAGTATCCCCAGAACGGAAAGGCATCAGTTTCCCCCAGTGCATATATACACAGTAAAGTCCAGGTAGCAAAACTATATCTAAATGAACCTGTTCCCAGATGTCAACATCATCATCATCATACTAACCCTAAGATGCAAAAACAGCTTCAATTATCATCTGAATATTGGATAACATCAACACCAAGAGTGGTATCCCTGGCACTTTCCGACTATTATAGGTATTTTAAGCATGTTCCAGACGGATTTTTGCCCATTAAGAACAATGTTTTGAAACCAGACTAAAGGAGGCACAAAGGGTACTTTGGAATAGGGGTGTGCCGAATATAAACCTGCTTCATTCACATATCACGAGGTGTTCCATTCTGAAAATTTGTATGTAACCATGTTAATGTTTCGCATCAGTGTCTGCAGGACACTGTCCATATAGCTTTTTAAAGGGATAGTTCACCCAAAAATGAAAATTCTGTCATTAATTACTCACCCTCATGTCGTTTCAAATCCGTAAGACACAAATTAAGATACAAACTTTGGAACACAAATTAAGATATTTTTGATGAAAGCTGATGTCTCAGGGGGGGCTCCATTGACAGCTATTTAATTAACTCTTTGAAGGCCCAGAAAGGTAAGAAAAAAATTGTTAAAATAGTCCATGTGACTACAATGGTTCAACCTTAATTTTATGAAGCGACGAGAATACTTTTTGTGCGCCAAAAAAACCTAAATAACGACTTTTTTCAACAATCTCTTCTCTTCTCCGACGCATGTTCACAAGAGCACCATGATGCATCCTCTGTTATACAGCGAGATACATGTGTCGTCTCATTGTCTGAATTATCCAAACTTTCAAGATGTGGCATGGCATGACAATATCACAATCGATGCAGCACACACTCTCCTGTTCAGTAGGCATCGCTTGGTACTGATGATCTGAGCGTGCGTCTTCCTCTGCTTGTAAACAGCCCTCCGTTTCCGGGTCATATGTCAGAACGCCAGCTCCTGCATCATCACCACACACGCATGCGTTGAGAGCACCACGGAGACTGATACGGAAGAGAAGAAATGGTTGAATAAAGTCTTTTTTTTTTTTTTGGCGCACAAAAAAAAGTATTCTCGTCGCTTCATAAAATCAAGGTTGAACCACTGTAGTCACATGGACTATTTTAACGATGTCTTTCCTGCCTTTCTGGGCCTTCAAAGTATTAATTAAATAGCTTTCAATGGAGCCCCTCCTGAGCCATCGGATTTCATCAAAAATATCTTAATTTGTGTTCCGAAGATGAACGAAGGTCTTACGGGTTTGGAACGACATGGGGGTGAGTACTTAATGACAGAATTTTAATTTTTGGGTGAACTAACTCCTTTAACTCCTGATTTTGAACAGTGAATAATTTTCTTTCTTTCTAGTAATGTCTTAAAAGATGCAATTCAATTAGCAGAATCCTGATTTTTGTTTTAAACGTCATGATGTACAGTAACACCAATTCTCCAATGGTATATGAAAACTGCCATTTTTAATATAAATATTTTCATTTCAAATCTATTTGAAATTTTCTACCCAGTAATAACTTTTTGTGTGTGATGAATGGGGAAAGATGGTCCCCTTAGAATCGGCACACCCCTACTTTAGAACCTAGGGAAAAGAAACCCCCACCCAACTGCTTTGCCTAAAGAAAGGAACAGAATAGGCAGTGGGTTATAAAAAAGGCTATCACGTGTATGAATAATCTATGTCTGGTATTCCCCCTTCTCTGTATCCTCGATTTGTTCCATAGCCTGGATTTCCTGTGTGGTTCAGGGTGCTCCTATATAGAGTTGCATTATTAGAGGGAAAGATAGTATGGATGTATGTCATATCCTCAACTTTTGCCTTGGGCTGCAAAGGCTGTTGGGCAGACATTGGTGTCATTTGAAAGCCGTGAGCCCTGATTTCTAAGATTGACGTGTCTTTTATGGTTCCAGACTCAACATAGTCATCGTAATGTTTGCTGGCACCTCTTGATCCAACTACATCTCTACCGTATATAGAGGGATCACCTGGTGCAAGGTACCCTGCACGGTGTCCATACCAGCAGAAGATGCCAAAAATTAAGAACAAAGACACCAATGCTGTTGCACCTCCAATAATTCCAGCAAGTGGTAGCGCTGACAGTTGGTCAGTTCCCCGATCGCTGTCCTGGTCTGAAATAGGCTGCTCTAGGGGATCTGTCTCTGTTTTGGCACAAGCAGGAGGCTCATGCTCTGAGTTTGTGTTTATGTTCAACCCACCAGTTGCCGTGAAAGAGGTTCTTTTACCATCGTTTCCAGAGAGAGGCACCAAGCAGATTATATAACTTGACTGGGGTTGTAGTTGCGTAAGTAAATACTCACGGCGATCCCCTGGCACAAGTGTTTCTGTGATTGACCCCATTGCAGGACTGTTGCCTAGTCGCAACCAGGAAAGTCTGAAGGAGGGAACTGGCTGTGCAGCCTGCCAAGTAATGTGGACTGTCTCTGGTGTGAGAGGTTTTACACTGATTAGTAACGATTTACCAGTAACCCCATTTCCGCCTCCAAGACTGTCCTGGCCCATATCAGAATACTTGTGTCCTGGTCGTCTGGATCTGAGGGTAAAGAGGGAACCTTGTGGAAGTGGAGGGGTTGTTGTAACTGGGGGCTGTGTTGGAAAATAACCTTTCTCTTTTTTTGCTCCATCATTTCCAACCATTCCTCCTGCAGTATCTACACTGATCTCACAGTCTTCTAATTGACTGGTAAGGTCCCTTAGTACCATGCCTCTTAGTCTCTCTGGTCCATGGCAAGTTAAACCTCTCACAGTCACTGATGAACCTCGCTCATGCAACCAGTCATGAAGCCAGCGGAGGTTACAGCCACAGTACCAGGGATTTCCTCGGACGAGTAATTGTGAAAGGCTGTCTAGATCCTTGAATAAACCCCTCGGAAGAGTCGTTAAGTTGTTACCTGATAGGTCCAGTTTCTGTAGTCTTCGCATGCCGTCCAGGGAGCCCCGTGGCATGTGGGCTATTGCATTGTCCTGTAGATAGAGCCGAAGGAGATGCATACTTGGAAGGTTTAATGGTGGTGCCTGGAGCGAGTTACGAACCAGAGAAAGCTCTGTGAGATTAGACAGCCGTGAGAATGTGTCATCTGCGATTCGTTGATTTGCCAGCAGATTTCCATCGAGGAAGAGACGTCTTAGAGAGGAGAGACCTCGAAATGCATGCGTTGGAATAGTTGAAATCCGATTGTCGTCTAGTCGGAGTTCCTCAAGTGATGCAGGCAGTCCTGATGGTATACTTGAGAGGTGGTTGCGTGACAAAAAAAGAAGACGCAGCCTCGGATTGTTGGCGAATGCTTTGTCTTCTATACTTACGGTTGAAACTGAATTGTCATCCATGTGAAGCTTCTCTAGCAAGGGGAGCCGTGCAAGAGCGGAACGGGGTAAAGTTCGTATATTATTGTCCTGTAGGTGAAGTTCCCGTAGTGATGGAGGCAGATGTGTTGGAAAATCATCAAGTTCATTATCATAAAGGTAAACTACTCTCACAGTCAGTCGTCGCTCTAAAGATGTTGGTAGCCCAGCATTGTCTATGCGGTTGTTTTGCAGATAGAGCACAGCTGCCGTTAATGGTAATGGAGGAATGATGCTCAAGCCACGGTCATTGCAGTAAATAAACCCATCATCACACCTACAAGCTGAGGGGCATGGCACTTCTCCCTGAAGCTCCGCCTCCCCGAGAGCTGCCTCTGCGGCGGCAGCAGTTGCTGCTGCAAACTCGAGAACTTCAACCAATAATGTCAGGCATAGAAGAAGTAGGAACAACCAATCGCGGAGTTCAACAAGGCTCTCTGTGGCCATAATTCCAGGCAATGTACCCCACTCTCTCTGCAGACTTAGTTTAACCCAATGTCTCAAGTCAATATTCTTGGTCAGTCACTGTAGTTGGGTAAGCGCAGGTCTTTCTTGTCCTTCTTTGCTTCCAATCACAAGCCCTGTGGGAAATATTGAAAAGTAAAAAAAAAAACAGAGGTTACATTTGGTTTAGAGTTCAATGCAATTATAAGTCCACTTATCACTTATGTTATACAGTTTGCTGTCTGACTTTTACAGGATATCTGCTTAAATGTGAAAAACATTGCAAGGTGGTAAGAGGTTAGTAGGCAAGTGCAAAGAAAATCAGTCAAGCTGAAAGGCTTTCTAGATAACCTTAGCAGAGCGACTGACAGATAGAAAGCATTAGACAGAAACATTAGAATAAAAAAGGACTGCAAGAAAAAGGTAAATGGATTGAGGTTGAGCAAAATAAATGAGTAGCGTGGAAAGAGTTGAATGTAAATTTTACATTACTACATTATACACTGAGAATTGTAGGCGTTGAAGTGGTCGTTCTGAACTTGTATTAAAATGTGATTGACATTTGAATTTCTGGAAAAACAATTACAGGTTTATTCCTGGGTTGACCTTAAGTCATATTTCAATTCAAATGTTACAGGGAACAGTATTTGAATAAATCACTAGTTTAATTTTAGCTCAATTTTTTGAAAGTTCACGGAAGGGTCAGATAGAGCTCTCATTTTCGGTCTGATTTGCAATTGAGATTTAGATGAAAACCACAGACGTTTACAACAAATTGACATGCATAATGGATGCTGTTTCTTGGTTGTTATTGTTTTCAAAATAGCATGAATTATTCAGAGAGACTACATGGAATACCCAACAGAGATTTCACTCTGTTTAATCAGTCATTGACTAGATGGCCAGGGATTGTGAATTTCCTGTGTATGTATTCTCTGCAAGCCTTGTCTGTGACTCTTATCAATGTTAAATATGGGAAGGAAGGCAAAGAATATTTGCAATTTAGCTGGAAATTATTTTTTAATAATAATTCAACATATAGACTGCCCCCTTAGGTCTAAAATGTATCAAAGTGAAAAAGTTTACATTCAACATTATTGTGACCAAAAAAAAAACCCAGCAAGATATATTTTTTAAATCACCAATACATTTTTGCATCAGGGTTTATCAATAAGAATGGCCCCTGCACAGTAAAATCATGTTCATTTCGGGCCAGTACTTGCGTTTACACTAAATATATTTACATTCATTGATCTTGTACATCCAATTTTTTGGCAATGTGTTCTACATTGTTGTGGTGAGTTCTGATTATGTGACACCAAAATAATGTTATCTGTCTGGACAGCCAGGATAACGTTTTATCAAAATTTGCTATAGATGATTTGTGATTAGTCTTGACTTGAAAGCATCGTTGAGAATTTCCAACTTGTTACACATTTTCTCTTTGTAAAGGAATTTAAGAAATATTCTTTGTTCACTAAAATGTGCATTTGTACACAATTTTGAGACATTAACCTACTCGTCGTGTCAGTAATCCAAAATGCACTTGTTTTTTGAGTATTTGTGTGTGAAGGTTTGGTATGCACCACTCTGTGCTGGATCCTCATTCTTTTTGCTGCCTTCCATCCTATGGGATTGGATTCAAGGTTGTTTGTGTTGCAGGCCAGGCCAGATGGGAAATGGTTGGCTGTATCTTGGTTACAAACGTTGTTACCTTAGGCAGCAACTACATGCAAAACAAACCCTTAAACTGTGCTAGTACCCATGCTAAACTGATCAATAGAGCTTAGCTAGAATTGGAAGCTTGTTTGTATTGGAAATGATCCAATTTTATTGGAAACACTTTCATCTTGTTTGTTATGATTTCAGACAACATTTCTAAAATTCTAAGGAAACAATTAGCAAAAAATATGGTATTTTTTTAATAATCATATCATTGTTGTCACTTTGTCTCCTTTTCAAGTCTGTCTCTCTTTTTAAATGAGGCGGGCTGCATGAAAATGGGAGCAATTTAAATGTCATATTTAATGGCTCTCCCAGAGTGTATACATTTGGGTATTTTTAGAAATAAAAAATCAGCTGTCTCTCAGCCCTGACAGTGTATTTTCACAAAGAGGGGTGGAAACTTGAGGACACAGAGAAAAAAAATAGTTCTGAAGAGAAACGCTTATTTGAAATTGAGATTAACCGGTTAATAGAATGATGCAAGTATGATGTCAGAAACCGGAAGACAAATTTGCTGCTGGTTTCTTCGAGATTTTCCTATGGGGTTTTATAGTGGGGTTTTTCGATTTATATGTAAAGTAAAGCCTTTGATAAACATAACTTGACTGACTATACTTTTACGTTTTGTTCTATGATGTAAATTACACACACCCATAGCGAAAACGCAAAGTTTAAAGCAGTTATGTTCATTTTTAAACAAAACGGAAAAAAACTGAATATAAAACATATATAAAATTGGCCAATAAGCAAAAAATGTTTCACTTAATTAATTAACAGAAAGAAAAGACTGATTTTTGGTCAATTTTTGTGACCTGCTCCAAAAACAAGTCACGGAAAGAAAACCTAGATAGTAGAAAGCGGCATCCTGTTTGTTTTCTTTATTTTACAAAAGCACAATGCTTTTTTTTAATGTGAGGGTATGCAAATAAAGTAGATTCTTTACAGTTTCGAATGATGTCTTATCTGTATGACCATAAATTGAGTATTTTAAGTTGTTCGGCTGTTACAAGGAAAAAATTAAAGTGATTGAGCAGGCTCCTCACGCACCCACACACAACATATTCTACTATTGCTAACTTGAAATAACAGCCTGTTCACCTTCAAAATAAAACAGTCAACCAAACATATAAAATGTTACGCTGCTTAATTTAAATAGTCCGTAGTACAATCTGTGCCGTTCAGCGTGAGCACCGGTCCACTGTGCTGTTGTTATGCCAAGCACATTTTTGCACAAGCAGGATAATGTTTAACGTTGATACTGGAAAGTGAGTGAAGTACAAAACCTATAGTTTACATAATCAATAATAATTTAGCATCCAAATACATTGCGAATATGGAAACATTTGCATTTGTGCCGAATGAGAGAGGTAGGCATGAGCCCAATTCGAGTTTCGTTCAGTTTTGTTTTAAATGAATTTTTTTTTGTTTGACATTTTATATATAGCTACTTATATTTTTCATTCTTGTTCTGTTCTGAATACCGTTAAATTTAAAGGATTTGTTGTGGAGTGAGGGGAATAGCCTATAGCTATATTAATAGTGTTTATAATGTTTGTAAACATTTTGCTTTATTTGCCTGTATTTTACATTATTTCTGAATGTAATAATACAATTTTACTCTCAAAAACACAATTTTGTATGTGTACGTGTTTTAACCATGCAGACTTTAAATAGGCTATGCACAAACGCTGCTGACGTATTTCCAGTAGAATCTCAGCCAGTGTCTTTACCTCCGCATAGCGCGTTCAATAGCGAAGTGTACTAGCAGCCAAACTTTAATAAAATTCATTTTCTAAGAAACGAGACAACATTTTAGACACTGATTCGCTAGTCGGATTTCGCATGATATGAGAGATTACTCACCCTCAAAGTTGTTGATGTAGCTTGAAATATATCATTTAATGCCCTTCTCTTTCTTACTTTAATGTGTGACAGCTAACTGCCACTGCCTCACAATATTGTTAACATCATTCACGTTAACCGCTGGAAGTTCTTGTAAACAGCGAGTGTAATTTGCCATTATCTCCACCTAATGCAAAAACGGCTTGCGACGCAGCACCTGATGTAACTGGGCGGGCTGAGACAAAACACGGAAGCAATCGTGCATAGAGCCTATTGTACTTTACACCGTCTAACTGACAGTTTTTCCTGTCGTATAAATTTGGCCCAAATGTATAAATGTTATAATGTTATAAATGATGATGCTGTATTGGCTATGACTAGAGGGCAAATACCAGACTGAGACTCGCTTTGTGTTTTTTGAGTCAAGAAAACGGTGTACTTATTATTATTAAAGTATAGGCTTTTTTGATTTCTAATCAAACTGTTTTTGGAACATTAATGTTACAGAAGGAACGCATAAAATACTGATAAACAAATTGATTCTTTTAGTTTTTAAGCCCTGAGAAGTTGATGTGTAAAACAACTTGTAAGTTTGCTTTTAGATGGCAGAGTGACCGCGAGAAGCTCTGTCTCTAACCTGCTGCACAGTTTGAAACATTTGTATGTAGGCAGGTTACCTTTACCTTCCCTCTGTTCTGCATCTCTTGTCTGTTTCTCTATCCTTCACTCAAACGTTTCTCTGCTCCGAAGAAGGTTTTCATCCCGGCCATCTCTGTAACCGCCCACTGTGCATCTCTAATCTCTTATAATCTCTTCTTATACACTTCTTTAATCATACTAGGGTTTTTTGTCTTTTCTGTATATCCTGCTTATCCTCCTGTGTCAATCCTGCATTTTCATTGTCTAAATCTGCTTTTTTGATCCTTCTCTTCAGTCTTTATTTCCTTTCTTTTTAGTTTCTACTTCAATTCTGTTGACAATATAGAAAGATATATTTCTGATGGAGATTTTTTTTTTGTTTTAATCCAGCCACACAGCTCTTTACACATTTCATATTGTATTAGGACAGGATGTAGGCATTCAAGAATTCCTAAAATCCAATAATTTTTAAGTTGGCTAGTTTTTACAAAAAACAACTCTTCTTACCATCTAGCGGGTATCCCACATTGTCCTTTGGCTGGTATCTGAGCAATCAGTGTTTGAGCGGTGTTTGACTCGTCCTCTTGATTCAAGATAGGAAATTGATAGTGCTCAAGGTCTTTCTTCTTGATCCTCTATGTCCTTTAACTTCAGTGACCAATGAAAATTGCAGCCCTTTATTTGTTGGATTCCTATAAATTGTAGGCACTGAAATAAGCATAATTTTTTCCAGTGTCAATCAATAGAAACAGCCAAAATTTTCATCACTTCCGTACAGCAAGAGAATATCCGAGCCGATGATGTGTATTCAAGTTGCAGTGTGTCCATCAAAGTTGACATCATGTTGATATTGTTTTTTTGAATGAGAATAGATGGATGACTGGGATGTTGCAACCCCTCATCTTTGACACCGTGCTACCTGTGAAGAAAACATTTTCAGTGAATTAGAGGACCAGGACAGGAAAGACTTTAATATTCACAGTGGGTCATTTTCTCTTTAAACTTGGCCTGACCTAAAAAGAACTATTTCAAAGAATATCAACTCTGAAAATGGTGAAGTCAAGTTCAGTGTGCAGAATTAAGTGGAAAATCTCTTTTACAGGCTGCTCTAAGCCATAGCCAGGACCAAAAAACGGAAAAATCGAAGCACACACGTATTGTTGCAAACTGGGTCACACTGTTGACAAGACTGAGGAAGGGCAACAAATGATGGGTGTCTTTTTCGACTTAATATTCTGTATTAGGTAAAGGGATTTCTGAGACAATTTTTTTTTTTTTAGGTTAGTCTAAATTATGCATAATGTATTTTCATGTTTAGATTTCCACTGTGAGTGTTTGTTGTTTATGTTTACTAGAACTGCTGCTTTGGGACTAAGCCTCTGAACCAGCAACTGTTAACTCTCTTTGTATCGTAGTGTGCTGAATCTGTTTAAATTCCCTGGCCTGACGTGGTTGATTTGTGTTTGTGATGTTTAAAGTCTCCTCTGGGTCCCACTGACTCCCAGTTTAATTGCTTTTTCATGGTCCAGTCAGAGATTGGGAGTGATCAAAAACATTATTGCAGAAATATAATGCACCATGTGGACGTAGCAGCCTGAAGATGGATCAGCGGAGGCCCATAGTACCACGTGTGAGAGGAGACAGGGAGCATTTCCAAGGCACACAGCTAATGTAAAGGGAATTGAGCAGAGGAGGACTAATAAGGACAAAGATGGCTAATTAAAATCAATAAACGTATTGGGGAATTTCCGCCAATCAATGCTCGTAGATGGTGAAAAAAGCATAAGGGCTATTCAGGCAGATGCCTTAAAATGTCTAGCGGGTATAAAACCAGACAAATACACAGCCCGCTCCCCTTCTCTCTTCACCTTTCTCACTCTGCCACTCTGTCTCTCGTACGGTATAATGGGGCAGTCACATTAGGGAAGAGATTATGATGGGAGATGATAAGAGGTTATATCAGTGCTGCTGTCATGCTCGCACTGACCTCCATCCCCAGACGTACTTGAGTAAATGCTGAAAATGGACAGTAATAATGTTCACCTGGAGTAGGGTAGTGCAGTTCCAATGCTCCGGGCCTGTTAATATTGCTGATGGTACAGATGTCCTCCATTCTTTAAGTTATTAGAATTGTGATGCATCTGTGCTTTGATTTGTATGCCCTTGCATGTTTGAGGGTGAGTGTGTATAATGTATATGTGTTTGTGTGCATGCATATGTGTATGAGCCCATGTCAAACATTTTTGCCATCCTGTGCACGTAACCTACCCATCTCTGCCTTTCAATTTCTCATTTGCTGAGCGAGGGAGAGAGAATGGAAAAGGGAGAGAGGGGCAGATGGAGGAGTAAAGGAAAGAAGGAAGATTGATGAACCTATTGGAATCAAATTTGGTGGCAGAAATGACTGTCAGGCCTAGTATCCACAACACATATTCACAGCAGTGACAAAAAGACAGACACACTGAGACTCACTGGGCTTTGTCTTAGGATCATGAAGGAGCATGAAATCTTAATGGTCTATCTCGTTCCTCACACAGCTTTGTCATAAAATATTACTCAAGTACATCATGAAATAATTACTCCCCAGCAAATCCAGTTCATTATTAATTCACAACAAGCACTGATGAACAACGTTGTTGTTGTATTGGCTGGCTAACAATGTAAACAACTGGAGAGCTTTGTGTTACTGTCTGGTCCCTTGCACATACGAGCGGTAAACTCAGTTAATATGACATGATTGGTACACAGTAGGGCCCTCAGGAATTGTGGTATTTTACTGAACAGTGAGTGTCTGTATGTGTGTATGTGGCTTACATTGGGGATACGAAGATAGACGCCATAATAGCAGAGCATTGGCCGGAGGGCATACTTGTGTGTCAGGATATTTTTCAGTTCCCATATCAGCGCATGCCTCTGAAACTAGTTCTCTAGGCCTCCAGGCTACAGTGTTGTAGTGATAGTCCACAGCGCAGTTTTGTTTTAAAATGGTTTCGTCAATGCGACTCTGCGTTCTAGAATTGTAAGTGCTCTCTGGAATATTCTACAATTGTCACATTCATGAAACGACTGATCTGTCTTCGGCTAATCACGCTTTAAAACTTATTTTCAGAAAGCTGACTAATTCATTGCTCAGTCTACTCGTTGTAATTACCTACTATTCAGTGAAGACAAGAAAAAAATATATATAATTGCTACACAGAGATGTTTTGACAGTGGAGTACAAACACCTTGATGAGATGTGCCTAGGTACCGTTCTCTCTCTCTCTCTCTCTCTCTCTCTCTCTCTCTCTCTCTCTCTCTCTCTCTCTCTCTCTCTCTCTTTTTTTTGCAGTCCAGTGATGTCTCAGATCTTTAACTGCCAGTGGCTCTGCAGAGCTGAATAGTAATATGTGTGTGCGTGTGTATTTCACTCTCTAAGATCTAATGATAATTAGCTAAAGGTAATCAGGGGTAATTCAGCAACGGGAGTGAAAATGGCATGAGACGCAGGGATGTGACCAGCCTCTCAACACACACCCACACACTGCAGCCTTTTAGCATGAACAACCAGGAGCAAAGAGAGGGAGAAGCAGAGATGAGGGGTAAGTGTGACAGGGATGCGTGGATGAGCAGAGAGGGGAATGCACCTTGTTTTTCCCTTATCCCCATTTTCCTGTATTATTCCTGTGCGCTTCCCCTCTTCTCTCTTTTGGCTCCCATCCTCTTGGATGTTCACCAGTGCATTTACTGTAATCTGTGAACCATTAATGCATAAATGCCTATACTGATTTATGTCCTTATTATATTCAGTGTTTGTGCACTGAACAGAGCCAGTGGCTTGTGAATGTGATAAAGATGCACTAAAGTGGCACAGGGTGAGATAGAGAGAGAGAGAGAAAGAGGCCTAATGCATTGAAGTAACACAGAACTCTTGAATGTATGCGATACAAAAAAAACATCAAAGCTTACTGGTATTTATAAAGGCATACAAGCATAATTTAGTCTTAAGGCTGATTGCATTATAGGCAAAGTATGACTGGGATACAAGGACAAATAGTGGAAGTTTGACTAAGGCATTTATCCTTATAATTATGTTATGGGGTTCTCTATGTGACATAAAAAATCTCTGATCATCTTCTTTTGGTGTATTTTGAGTGACATGCCACAATATTCAATATTATTTGCCTTTCTTTGTGTCTGATGTCATGAATGACTTTACTGTAATTCATAAGTTGCAAAGAAGATAGATGAATTGATTTGAATGCCTACAGAAAGTGGAGAATGAATTAGCTTTATTTACTTTTTGTTAATCATGAAAGATGGAGTGAAATGCAGCAGCAGGATGGTGGTGCGTTTGGAGTTGTACATCTGCACCTGCAACATGCGAATGAAACCCTATCCCTCTGACAGTGCTAGCTGCACATCTCTTCTGTCTATAAAATTGTGTACTAAGCAGCCATCTCCTATAAAATCATTTTAATGGACAAGAATTAATGTTCTTGACCCTGAGGTTTAACAGAGCGTTGGTGTTTGGTTTGATGAGAAATATACTCTTGTATTGAGTGTGTTTTTCATTGTTGTCTGAATAAAGAAAATGAAATGTTATGTCACTTCGTTGATTAAATGCATTTAGACATTTCCAGGGATAACATGGCTGTCTGTGGTTCAAATTCTCTGTCTTTTATTTTAGAAATACCTGACTACTATAAATACAGACCATTGCATTTTATGCAGTATTTTGCTACTGAATTAATTTAAGCTTCTTCATCCTCTCTCTAAATTCCACATCTCATATGTTTCCTCTTTCTCATGGTCCCTAATGAACAGGTAAATGCTAAACCACATTTTTACTCCACCAATCTTTTAGTGTATTTTTCCTCTTTCAAATTCATCCTCCTATTATTCTTTGAAGGCAAAATGTTGTTATTGCTGTCACATTTCTAATATTGTCTTATATTGTTTACTTTTCTTGAGGTGAGTATCTCATCCATGTTGTAAATAGGCCTATATGACAGACATTTATCACTGTCACCACTTCAAGTCATTTTCCTTTCTTCACTTGTCTTCTAATTTGTTTACATTTATTTTGTTTTCCCATTTCCCTTTCCATTTGTGATCCCAACATTTTTGTGCCAATATACCATCTACCCTTCCAGCTGGATAAGATGGGCTTTTATTAGAATTATACATGAACACTGACATATACGTAAATCACTTTCTGGTGATGCATTTCAACTAGCTCCTTGTCTCTTTCAAATAATATTCCTCCCTTGGATTACCATTTCAGCCATATTTCTCATTTGCCCTTTTCTTCTCTTTCTTATGCTCCCAGTTACTTTGTAAATGATGCAGTCACTGGAAATAAGCAGACAATTTAAGTGCTGAATACTTCAGTGTTCCTTTTCTCTCTGTTTTCAAGCACACACACACGCGCACACGCCACAAAATTACATATAAACAACCAATCATACCTCTTGCTGTCCCTCAGCCAGTGCTTATGAACATCAAACACAAACACTCAAAATCAGAGCGTGCACACAGGAATAAAAATAATTAGGTTTGTCTGAATTTGACTTAATGTGGGTAAATTTCTCTTATCAGCATTTCACCATAACAAGAAAGAGCAAAATGTCATAATAAACAGCCCTCACTGTGGGGTGAATAAAAAGTGGCACTTTTTTAATATAAAGTGAATTCATGCATTTAGGTCAGTGAACAAAGTTGCCCACATGTTCGAC